CAATACCCCTTGATTAAGGAACATACCTCACATTGCAGGGTTCAGGGTTCATAGGGTGAGATCCTTGATATGATCCGAAGTACATCCCTAAACTAAGGAGTATACCTTATAAATATTGTCGTAGGATCCCAAATTATGATTTAAGGTGCGTTCCTTATCTAAGGGATTTTGGAAGGTCTGGGTCCTCAACAGCCTCAACCCCAAAGCCTCAACCTAATGTACGGGCCTTAAATAAATAGAATAAGGTTTTGGGCTCCTTTATAGTATACTTATAAAAAAGGAGCCATAAGGAGTAGTAATGTTGGTAAGTGTTGAGGCTTCTATATTACCCTAAACCCTAAGCCCTAAAGACCTAAACACTAAGCCCCAAACCCTAAAACCTAAACACAAAGCCCTAAACCCTAAAACCGAAATCCTAGACCCTAAACCCGAAACTCCAGACAGCCTCGGCCCAGCGTGCTTCGCAGCGGGCTTTGTGCCCCAGACTCCTCCTTGCAATTTTTAGGGGGTTCCTTTGGGAGTTCCTTTAAGGGGTTCGTTAAAGGGTTCCTTGGAGCGTTCCCTTCAAGGGTTCTTTAAGGGATGTATAAGGGTTTTGGGGATATACTTCAAGGATTACGTTAACGGGTTCCTTAAAGGGGATCCTTAAAAGGGATCCATAAGTTGGGTTTAGGGTTACGTACAGGATCATGGGACTTTGGTACTAGGGCTATCGCTAAGGCAACTATACTTATAATCATAGACTAAGAACCCCAGTTGAAGTACATCTAACCATATTCACTTACCCTGAGAGTCCATGTACCCAAACAGTAGATACTGTGGCCTTAAAGTAGTCCCTATATAGGTACTTTGGGGGCAATGTATCTCCTATTTGGGTACATGGACCCTTATAGGGTAAGTCCTATGATCCTTTGTTTTGCAATGCAGCATTCAGGGATTACGGTATAGGGTTTAGGGTTCAGGGGTTAGGGATCTTTTCAGGGGCTGCCTTTTGGGGGGTCTGAGACTTCTGAAAACTTTAGGACTTGGGGTTTGGGCTAGTTTTTGTCTTTTTAATTGTGGAGTTGGTGCAATGCAATAGAGCAGTAATAGAAGCCAGAATGTTGGAACCGTCAGGAAATGCTTCAGAAGAAAACATACTGGTGTAGGGTTTAGGGTTCAAGGCTTCGGCAAATGCTGAATAGGTCATACACTACTCTGAATCAGAGGGTCCGCATATAAGAAACCCTACTGTAAGCAAGGTGCCGCTTTAAGGTGCTCAAAACAAGGGACCCTGTTGAAAAACATTATTCATAGAGTCTTCACTACAAAGGCGCCCTCATGCAAGGTAATGTAGAAGCCTGACCTGCTCTTAATAAGAGTAATCCTTGTGGTCCTTGTTGTAGCTATAGTATAACGGACCCCAAAATCGTAGTCTAAATTGCCTGTAACTGTCTATATTAGGGGTCATATTACAGGCTACAGACATACTGATATTTTGATAATATTAGTATTATCCAACACTGTTACAAAGTGCGAGGAAGTATCCAAAGTCTAACTACTGACGCCCCGACATCATTCCCGGGCTCCTCCATTGGAGGCGGCGGTGGCGCACGCGGTGAACCTCGTGGGCCCAGGTCCCGCCCCCAAAGCCGGCTGAATTCTAAGCCCACAGAAGCTTCCTTAAAAAATCCAAACCCTAAATCCTGAGTCCTGAATACCATGACTAAAGCCAAGAAGCTTCCACCAGAAAAAACATCCACAACGACAAAAGTCTAGTCCTCAGGTTCTGGCTTATACTGATGTTGTATAAACGAACTCCACAGAACCCAACCCTGGTTTCTTAAACTTAAGGCCCCCCTTTCGGGGGTTCCCGAGCTTGAGCTTTGCGAAGGCTCCACGTGATGGTCGAGTCCGGGCCGAGCTTCGCGAGTTGCTCCGCGGTTTAGGGTTGGGGAATAAGGCTTAAGGGGTTCACGATTTGCAAACTTGCCTCCAACTCGACGTTCTAAGTAAGCCCTGGGCTCGCAAACAACAACACCGGATAGGGCTCCGAACCTCATCTTTGAAGCTTTTTCTCATGGCATAGGGTGCTTCAGGCTTAAGGTTTTAGGTTTAAGGTTTTAGGGTTTAGGGTTTAGGAGTTCAGGGTTTAGGGTAGGGTTTTTGGAAGCCTAAACCCCAAACCTTCGACCCTAAACCCTGAACTGAGACCAAGGCTTAACGGATCTTCATCCCAGCCTTTTACATAATCCGAAACCCGACGTACCCACGACTCCGCTATACATTTATCAAGCCCTGGTCCTCGCCGCCCAAAGGGTCCAAAGTACTGTTGTGGGGGATAGTGTCCCAGATCATATAATAATGACGCAACAAAATATAGAAACCCTACATTCTACTACAAAAGGTACCCCTTAAAAGAACCCTAAACCCTAAAATATAGAAAGCCTACACTCTACTCCAAAAGGTACCCCTCAAAGGAATCCCTTGAAAGCGCCCTTAAAGGTACTGAACTTAGGGGACCCTGGCCCTTACCTTCGAAAACACCTTCGAAAACACCTGGGGAAACGTAAAAAAGGGTTTAGGGTTTAGGGTTTAGGGTGAAGGTGTGTCTAAATCGGGGGGGCACTGCACCAAGCGACCCGACACCGAGAACCTTCAACATGAGCAACACAACCAACCAAAACACTCTAAACCCCAAACCCAAAACCCTACGCCTAACCCCTCTAAACCCTAAGCCCTGAACCCTGAACCCTAAACCCAAACCACCAAGGCCAAACTCTAACGCTGAAGCCCTGAACACTCTCATAACCCGCAAGTTCCCCTGTAGCCCCTTAACTGTAACAATAAGGGTTTAGGGTTTAGGGTTTAGGGTTTAGGGTTTAGGGTTTAGGGTTTAGGGAAACAATAAGGGCACAATTTCCATTCTATTTTGGTTTTAAGAAGGGAACCCAGCAGGGTTTTTCCTACTATTCACAAAGGGAACCGACAAACGGAATAAGGGCAGAAGGGTACTACTGGGGAACCTATAGCTTTTATAACCCTAAACCCTGAACCCTAAAGGCTTATAAGCCCAAACCCTAGACCCCTATAATTAACCCCATTTACCCCTATAACCCCAAACACTTTAAAACCCCTGCAACCCCAAACCCTAAACCCGAAGCCCCCATAACTCATAAGCCTTAGCCTTAACCCCCCGGACCCCTGCGCTGGCCTGGGCCTGGGGCTGGGGGTCTTCTGCGTAAAGTCGACGGCCGCGGCTGGGCGGAGGTGGTGGCACCGTCCACGGCCTCAAGAAGGGTTTAGGGTTTGGAGTGGTTTAAAGTTGAGGGGCTTAGGGTTTAGAGTTAAGGGGTTTAGGGTTTAGGGCTTTTAGTTAAGGGGTTTAGGGTTTAGAGTTGAAGGGTTTAGGCTTTAGGGGTTTTGGGTTTAGAGTTAAGGGGTTCAGGGTCTCCAGTTTATGGAGGGTTTTCTATGTCTTAGATGTACGAAGTGGAAAGGCTTATTATGGAGTTCAGGATTAAGGGCTTTAGGGGTTTAACGGTCTAGGAATTATGTAGAGTGTAGTTGGTTTTGGTGTCGTTGCATTTGGGGTTTGGTGTCGGTATAGGGTTTTGGCGTTAGGAGTTTACGTCTCAGTGCTCGTAGGTCGTAGGGCTCAAGGATCACATTGCTCTAGTAAGTAGGCCTAAACCCTGAGCCCTAAACCCTGAACTCCCTAAACCCTGAACCCTAAACCCATAGTTCCGTCAGGTTAGGACCATCTGCAAAATCCTGACACTTCGCATAGAGCCCCGAAGTCCGAAATGATGCCCGGAGGCATCAGAGTAATTCTCCAAACTAGGGTCCCTTTTAGGGCTCCTTAAAAAGGGATCTGTACGGGTTTCTATAGGGATTCTATAAAAACAAACTATAAGGGTTTCTATCGCAGCCACGCCATTCTGGAACGACTGTTCAGAAAATTCCCACCTGCAGGTGTTGGAGCGGAAGAAGGTGCCCTCGTCGGAGTTGGACCACACACTGTGGTAATCCGACAAGTCGCGCAAGCACACCTTCTCGATCGCCTTTTTCAAAGTGTCCACTGCACTGTCTCCAGTCATCACCCATGTTTTGGGCGTGGACGAATACCACCCACGGTGGCCTGTGTCTTCCACGAATTTAAACACAGTCGAGAGAGGGTGCGGGATCTTCTCCGTGATGGCAGGCGCTCGAAGCAGCACTTCCGCAAACAAACCGTGATGCTGCAAGTTTCCGCCGAAGGCATCGCGGATCAGCTTGTGATGCTCCATCCATGTCTCATCCACCTGGTCAAAGAGGTGCTTCAGTCCCGGCACACCCTCTTTCATCACCACATTTGGGGGTTTCCGAAAATAGGGGACCCTAATATAGTACCCTGAATAATATGATCCTTATTATAAGGACCCCAAAATAAGGTACCCCTTATTGTCGGAAACTCCCATTTAAACATTCCGGAGCTCTGAGGCGTCCCTGTTCTGACAACCCAGCGCTCCACAACGAATTCCTACTTTCCCCCTATAGTCCAAAGCAAGTAAATACACATGCACGGCATGCGCTATGTATGCGTGTACACATATATATATATATATATATTTATATTTATTTATTTAGTCATTTATTTATTTATTGTTTAGAGCGAGAGAGAGAGAGAGAGAGAGAGAGAGAGAACATCCTTAAGCTACACATGACCGTCAAGGTATGTTTTACCTTGGTCTTTCTCGTTGCTTTCTTAATTTCTCTGCTTTTCTGAGATGTAGTTTTAAGTTTTGGGGCCCTGAAAAATACTTAGCAATAGGTACCTCAATAAGAACCATAAAAATTCTAAAGTTTTACAAAGTGCCACGTAGTTCTAGGCACCTCATACTGCGACAACCGGGAGGACAGCGCTGCGAGGATGTGCTGCTGAGCGCCCGCCTTCGGCTTGGAAGCAGAAGTACCGTCTGGGTTTAGGGTTTAGGTTTTTTGTATTTAGGGCTCAGGTTTTAGGATTTAGGGCTTATAGTATCTACGGTTTAGGGGTGGGTTGAGGGGTTCGGGTCTGGGGTTGAGGGGTGCCTACTCAACGGCGGATCCCTTCCGATCCCAACTTAAGGGTTGGGGACAAGGGGGGCAGGGTTTAGGGTTTAGGGTTTAGGGTTTAGTTTGCTGGCCCGTTGGCTTTAGGTGTTACATAGCTCTAAGGGTCCATGTGCCCCAATTGTATATATTTTGGCCTTGAAGTGGTCCCATTACATGGACCGATTAGGATAGGTTTTAGGGTACAGGGTTAAGTTAACCGCAATGCCCCAGGGGCCCAGTCCACTAGCTGTCTTTATTTGGACCCTCATGATATGACTATCCCTAGACCCTAGACCCTAAACCCTAAATAACCCATGACATAGGGAAACCGACGTAGGGACGAGGCTTTGCAGTCATCCTGTTCCTTCCCGGACTCTGCAACGCATGGTAAGTTCGTGAGGCTACAGTCATGCAACATGCACAGTTTCAACTTTCAACCGTTCTGCCAGCTTTGTTAAGTCAACACGGGGGTTTCCGAAAATAGGGGACCCTAATATAGTACCCCAAATAGTAGGATCCTTATTATAAGGACCCCAAAATAAGGTACCCCTAATTTTCGGAAACTCCCACATGGCTGTTTGCTAAAGCCCTTGAGATGTGGTGGTAACACGAGGCATATATACTTGTGCTTGTGAAGGCTGATGTGTCACCAATACAGCGGCCGATGTATGGGCAACAACTGCGCAGGTTGTTGTCCGTCAACTAGTGCTAAACGTTCGTGCTCGAGCTTTCTTTTTGTGAAAACGCCTTGAAATGAAACCCCCAACATGAGAATAAAATGTATGTGAGTGTCAGAGAAACGGGCACACTAGTATAAACCCTATAAGAAGTAGAATTCTCATACAAGGCTTAACCAAGGTACGTACCCCGAATGCTACTAGCACCCTTTGTAGAACCCCTCAAACTGTCCGGGCTTTGGGGCAACACAAGAGTTTCAAGGGGAGGGAGACCCCGGAACCCACTGAAACTCAGTGCAAACCACATGGGGGTTTCCTAAAATAGGGGGTACCTTATTTGGGGGTCCTTATAATAGGGTCCCTATTATTTAGGGTACTATATTAGGGTCCCCTAATTGTTGGAAACTCCCACATTCTACGTCGCTCAGCGCGAACGAAAAGCCGGGTGCATCGGAGCGCAGCATGGCCCATGTTTATCGTCATCACCAGCACCAGCACCAACATTGTGGGAACAGCAGAGACGACATGTGCACCGACGACGCGTGTCACAACACCAGTTTCAACGTAAGTAGAGTGAGTTTTGCCCCTTGTGGTCTATTGCCGGGCTGGTCAAGTCTTGCAAGATCTTGAAGCACGATAGCACGAAGGTCCTCATCATGCGCCCCCTCACACGAGGGCAAAGAACCTCCGACGACTCATTGAACTTCAGGGGCGACTCCACCAGCCTGAGCGCTTGGACCACGGAATCCAGGTTCCACAGAGCCGGGCCGGCCGAAATTCGGCCAGCTGAAAATTCCAGTGCAGGAGGAGCTCTGCAGAAAGACCAGCAGGCTCATCATCATCGTCATCACCATCATCATCATCATCAGGATTCTCATCAGCCTGAGCAAAGTCATACCCGTCCATTCTTGTTTGTTCTCTAAGTTCCTGGAGCTTCCAAGGCTCTCAGTCATTAAAGGGGGTCATATTAAAGTACAACTGCGCGTATGCTGGCGCTACCCCATTGCCAACCTGGGTTTAGGGTTTAGGTTTTAGGAATCTCGTTGCAACCCGGCCTATACCCGTACTTGCTGTACCAAGTCCGACGACCCCAGAGTCCTAAGTCCAAAATCCCCATACTCTCTACACGCTCCAACTCCTATATCCCAAGCAATAAAGCCCAGGCCCTAAATCTCAAACACCAAACTGCCCTTTAAGTCATATAAAGCCCGCACTATCGCACCGGTATCAAAACCCTATAGGACACTTCACGGAATCGTTCAGAGGAACCCTTACAGTACAAGCCCAAAAGCTGGAAACCCAATAGCCTCAATCCTTAAGAGCAATGTAAAGGGAATCCCAGCACTAATTGTCCTTAATCGGGGTTCCAACCTTTTTGGGGTTTGCTGTCGTACCCTCAAAGGCCCTTAACGGAACCCTTTAAGGTGCCCCTGAAAGGAACTGTTTTGGCATCCTTCAAAGGGACCCTTAAAGGAAGCCTTAAAGTACCCTAAAAAGTACCCTTAAAGGAACCCTTACAGTACCCTAAAAGGTACCCTTAAAGGAAGCTTGTTGGTATCCCTTCTCAAATCAAAGGAGCCCACGAACACCCGCCGCCCCACAGAGACTTCGCCTCTGCGAGGATAGGATCCTTCATTGCGGTCAAAAGGTCCTCGGTTGAGGGTTTGGGGTTTAGGGTTTAAGGTTTAGGGTTTAGGGCTTAAGGTTTAGGGTTTGGGTTTTGGGGTTTAGGGTTTAAACGTTTAGGGTTTAAGGCTTAAGGTTTAAGGTTTCGGGTCTACCTTCACCTACCAAAACCTGTCTTTTTCCCGGGTCCTTATATCAATTCTATATTCGGGTTCTTTGAACAGAACCTACTAAAAGGTAGGTTTCGGTAGTTTAAGGCAGGGGTTTATGGCTTTGGGGCAGGGCTTGGCGTTAGGGTTTAGGGTCTTAAGGGCTTCAGGGCTGTAGAGTTTTGGGGTTAAGGGCTACAGAGCTTTAGGACTCTAGGAATTTGCGGGCTGTGGTGGTTCAGGGTTTACCTAGACCCTAAAGAACC